AGGTGGCCTTTTTATTTTGATGAAGGTGTTTGAACTGTCCAAAGCCAACCCTCCCCTGCCTCAAACCGTCCTCAGCCCTCCTCCCCCTCAAACCCTCCTTAACGTCACTCTCCCAACCCCACTCAGCTTCATTTCAAAATCACTTTGTGTGTAGTTACCATGAGACACAACAATCCAAGGCCTGATATGAGTCAGTTTAACCAACACTGTGACTAAACAACTAACCAGAGAGAGAAAGGCTGAGGAAAGTACAAAATAAAAGGGAACAGGATGAGAGAGAATTACAGGAATAGAATGTGAAAGAGGTGAGATGAAAGATAGAGTATAACAGTGAAGAGGCAGCCAGTGACCAAATATGAGGGAGAACATGATGAGTTGGAGGGAAAATGTCTTCCTACATTTTTTTGGGTTGTCAAGCGACACTTTTGCACTGACTGAAGGCAGCCTATTGCATGATAGTGTTGGCTAAATCAATTAGGAATGTCTAACCAGCAATTAGCTATGTCACAATCTCACTTCCAGCTAATGCAAGTGGAATGTTCTCAGAAGGTGTCTGCCAATAGGGTAGGGACGTGGGGGAGGCCCTGTGAGAGTGAACACTTAGCCCATAGTGAACAGTTCAGAGTGAAACTCCCCCTCCCAGGATGATGTGTTTTTCTTTCCCCTCATAATCGCACAGATTAGATCAAATCCAATTTTGTTACTGTGGAGATTAATTCCACCAGAAGAAGCAGTAAAGGTATTGGGAAATTTACAGCAGTAGGACAGAGGAACATTTTCGTAGCAAGTGGTGATGATCTGGAGTAGTTGCTCAGGCTGTGAGTGTTGGGTGATCAATCATTTTCGAAAGATATTGGATGGGCACTTGAGGGGATAGACTTTAAGGACGCTACAAGGAGGGATCATTCTTCAGAGAGCTGGAATGGCCTTGTGCCATGCCATAATTATTCCCTAAACTTCTTAGCTCCAACATTCCAGACATGAACAGCCTTCTGTAAAGATGCCCATCATGTATTTGTAGAAATTCTCTGTGCCCTGAGGCAGAAATAGGGAGGGTTGGCTTCGGACATTCAACCCTGGCCATGAACTTTTGACTGTGAGGCACTCCCGCAGGACTGAACCTCCGACAGTGCAGCACTTCTTAAAAAAACTGACACTGGGCGTGTCAGGGAGGATTTGAACCCACAATCCTGTGATTCAGAAGCAAGGGTGTTATTGAATCAGGCTGTATTGACTGTACCTCATCAGCTGCTTTTGGTCCCCTGACAGTGAAGTTTCAGCAAACATTCAGGCACTAACTTGGCAGGGTTTCATCATCAGTGCTACTACTGATAGAAGGGAAGTGTCAGCATTTGGGAATGTGCAAGGGAGACTTAAAGGAGCCGCTTCACATTCTTTTATTAAAACGCCGTGTCTCACGTCATCCTCAGAGAAAAAGCATGCAAATCGTGACAACTGGCCTGAGCAATTAGAGACACTCCCAGATAAGTTCACAGTAGGATCGACAGGCGCTCTGACCTTGTCCTGTCCCTGACTTCTGGCAGAGTTCTCACACAGATTTCAACCCCCACAAAATTGGTTACAGCCAAGGAGCCTGACAACTGGAATTTCTGCCGTTTCTGTTTTAAGCTGATTAAAAGTTGCACCCGTGAGTTTTTTGAGAAACCAGACAGAAACAAATACATGAACACACACACCAATATACAAATGCACTCTTCCAAACTCACGCTCTCAAACACATGCATAGTCACACTTTCAAATTCACACACTTACACAAACTCACACTCAAATTCCCATATAAACAGTCCCGCACAAATTCACACAAACACATGTTCACACATGTACACACACAAATTCAAATTCAAGTACACATTCATAAACACGCAGGCATACAACCTCAGAAACGCACAAATACAATCACACATTCACCGTCCACACACGCCCACAGCCTCTGTTGGAAGAACAGAGGTATCCCCACCCCACCCAAAGTGTCCTGAGGCCAATATTTATCCTTAAACTAACACAGTTTGAAAGGAACATGTTATCATGATTTGTTTCTGGAATTCTGCTGTGTGCAATCAATGGCAGACATTGAAGGGAATATTTCAGATTAGAATAGATATATTGCAGATCCCACCAATCATAAATAACTAAAATGTTAGAGATAGTATCAAATTTAAAGAAAAAGCAAATGATTATGCAAAGTGGGTGGTAGATTCAAAGATTGGACAGAATATAAAAAAGGGCTAAAATTCAAAAGGATTAGGATATTTGAGTACAAGAGAACCAAAAATGTGCAGGTTATGTGGATTGGCCATGCTAAATTGCTCGTAGTGTCAAAGGACATGCAGGCTAGGTGGGTTAGCATGGGAAGTGTGGGGTTACAGGGATTGGGTGGGGGTGTGTAGGTCTGGGTGGGATGCTATTTGGAGGGTCAGTGAGACTTGATGGGCTGAATGGCCTCTTTCAGCACTGTAGGGATTCTGTGATTCTATGATAGAACCAAAGAAATGATACATCACAGAAGGGGGCCATTCTGCCCATCTTGTCCATGCCAACCCAAAGACACCCAGATGCCCTTTCTGATTCCATCTTCCTGCACGTGGCCCACAGTCCTGAAGCTTACAGCACTTAAGGTGCAGATCCAAGTACCTTTTAAAAAGAGTTTAGGGTCTCTGTCTCCCACACCAACTCAGGCAACAAATTCCAGACACCCACCACCCTCTGCAGAAAGAAGTTTTTCCTCACGTCCCCTCTAATTCTCCTGCCACTTAACTTGAATCTATGACCCTGGTCTTTGAACTTTCTGGCAAGGGAAATAGGTTCCTCCTGTACCCCGTGGACTTTTACTTTCTTGGCTGCCATGTGGAACCTTGTAAAATGTCTTTCTAAAGTCCATGTATACAACATCCACTGCACCACCCTCATTGAGCCTCCTCGCCACTTCCTCAAGGATTTCAATCAAATTAGAAAGGCATGTCCGTCCCTTAACAAAAGGGAATTTGGTATGTCCACAATGATTCTTACCAATTTTTATAGATGCACCGTAGAAGCAACTATTCTGCCCAAAACCACAGAAATTACAGAGTTGTGAATGCAGCCTAGTCCATCACATAAATCAGTCTGCATCATTGACTCTGCATATACCTCTCGCTGTCTCAGGAAAGCAGCCAATATAACAAAGACTTCTCCAACCCTGGCTGTACTTTCTTCTATCCTCTTCCATTAGGCAGAAGATACAAAAGTTTGAAAACATATACCAAAGGATTCAGGAACAGCTTCTTCCCCGCTGTTATCGGACTTATGAATGGACCCCTCATATTTTAGAGTCGATCTTTCTCTGCACCTTCTCTGTAGCTGTAACACTATATCCTGCATTCTGTTCTATTACCCTGATATACTTATGTAAAGTATGATTTGCCCGATAGGATGCAAGGCTGTACTTTCCACTGTATCTTGGTACATGTGACAATAATAATGATCAAGTCAAATCAAAGCTGACTATCCCTGACCAGTCCATGCCTTTCTAAGTGAGTTTATCCAGTCTCTCAGGATTGGATCTAACAATTTGCCCACCACTGAAGTAAGATTGACTAGCCTATAATTGTTTGGCATTTCTTTTGTACCTTTTTTAAACAACGGAATCACATTTGCATTCCTCCAGTTCTCCAGCACCTTGCCTGTGCCTAGTGAAGTTTGTGGGTGAGGTGGGAAGATGGTATTCAGATCAGCCATGACCTTATTGAACAGCAGAGCAGGCTTGAGGGGCTGAATGGCCTCCTCCTACTCCTAATTCCCATGTTTGAATTTCCTACAACGGGATACCTTTTGTATATTTTTGCCAACACATATGCAGACTCACACACTCTCATGTATACACATGTTCAGACCATGCTCACATACACCAGGGTTACACTCACATCTGTAAGTAGTAGCTCATGTTTCCATGTACCTTGATGTTCTTCAATGCCTCAAGAGAAAATCAGAAGAAGTGACCAGATGATAGCTAGTAAATGTCGGCCTGACAGTAGCGGCCTCATTCCAGGTGTGAATTGTATTAAATGTATTCAAGCTAATAGATTTATTGGACCCCTCTGATAGAGTGTGCATCTTACACTCTCTATGTGAAGGCCCTCTGGAATCCAATTGTCTGGGCTCCCCATCCTGAGAATGACCAAAAATGGGTTGCTGTTGGCTATGAACAAAGTCACCACAGTGTCGCAAAGCATTTTATAGTCCAAAAAACCCCTTTTTGTTTAAATATAGCTCCTGTCCTGAGGCAGAAAACACAGCAGCCAACTTAGTCACAGCAAAATCCCACGAACAACAATGTGATCATGTCCTGATAATTTGCCTATTTTGCAATGAAATTGATTGAAGGATAAAGCCCCAGGAAGGCAGGGTGAGAACTCCATTCTGTTCCCTCTTCAAAACTGTAGCTTTGACCCAAAAGGGCAGACCAGATCACGGTTTGACAGTTCATTGGAACCTCCAACAGTACAGCACGCCCTCGATAATGGGATTTCTGAATGAATTATGGACTTGGGTCTTTGGAGGGAACTCACAGACTCCAAGGTGAGAATGTGTTCCCCCTGCACCCCCCACCCCCCAACTACAGCTAGCCATTGTGAACAAGTTGGGCGATTACAGCTGTATTTGGGATAATTGTGCTCAGCAGGGTCCCATACAGTGATGTTCCTTGCCTCAGTGAGTCCAAGTGACATTTGAACCAGGCCATATGATGTGAAAGGTCAGGTTCTATGCCACTCTAATCCCCTGGCAAGGAGATTTCTGCCCATATGCTGGGGTTTCTAATGCTAAGTTGCAAGCATCTATGTTTTGGAAGGGAAGGACTTGTCTCCTGCTTGGAGATGTTGGGAACTCAAATTCTGATTAAGATATCCCAGGACTGATTATCCAGACATTGCAAAAAAAATCCTCAAGGTCTTGCGTTGGGCCTGGAGAGCTGGAGTTTGACATGGAAACCATGTAGCACCCACTTTAGTCAATCAAACAGAGCTTTATTTACAACGCTATTTTTAAAAAAAATTACATTGGATTTCTTGCATTCTTTTGTTTTATGAACAAAGACACCAGAATAAATAAAATCTAAATTCTTGCGTGCATCCAGTACCGTACCTACAACTGGTAGTTCTGATCAAAGCAAGACTGATCTTCACCAAAGATCTAGCACAGGCTTTACAGACTGAAAGGCCTCCTTCAACCTTCAATAATTCCTTGCCCAGTTACCGCAGACTTATTGTGGAAACCAGGTTTAACCCCTTCAGTTGCATCAAGAACCTTCCAAAGTGACCCCTCCTTACATGTGCCTCTGATGATAGTGCATCAGGAGACAGTGATGGCCGTCTCTTGCTCTCTCTGCATCTGTTGTTCTTGCCCTCTGTTATCTCTCTCTCTGTCTTGCTCCTTCTGTCTCTCCCCGCTTGCTCTGCCTCTCCCCAGCTCCCTTCCCTGAACTGGATTGTGAGCTGCACACTGGTTTGTATCATGTCTAGGCTGTCTTTGAAACATTCACCTCACACAGAGGAAGCACATTCAACAGTAGCTTTCAAAAAGGGGGGGATGTCGGAGAAATAAGGACACAGCTGTGGGGAAAGCATGGTGTAGAGGTTCGGAGTGATCAGAAAGCTCTTTAGCAAAGAGCTGGCACAGGCTTGATGATCAGAATGGTCTCCTTCTATAAGACTCAATAATTGCTGTGACAGATGGATTACTGGAGTAGCCAAAGAAAACACATCTTCCTCAAGAATAAGACCTCCTGCTCTGAAAGGCCCTGACTCTGACTGGGATTTTGACCCCAAACAGGGAATATCCAGTGAGATGCTCTAATCAGCAGCCGGGATAGCTGGTCCGATCCCTGTTCATGTCCTGGAAATGGGAAACCACCACAGCTGCTGATTTCTCATCTGAGGGAAGTTGCCAACAGGTCCCATGGGAGGACAACTCCAGAACGGGCCTGTCCTGGGATTTCCCTGTGCAGAAATCTGCTTTGTAGATGATCCTGCTGCCAGGTCTGGGGCGGGGTGGAGGTTATAAGGGGGTTCACTGTGTTTTGGGGGTGGGAGGAGACATTGTGCAAGTCCAGAAAGCGCAGACACTGCCCTCCCACACCTCTCTGCACTGTACTTGCCAAACCTGCTTTGACACCTCCAGCAACGGAGACAGCATTTCAGCCTCATGGCACAGAGCCAGCGTGTCTCAGCTGCGGGAGGATGAAACACTGAGTTCACTTTGGGTGGCTAACTGTCCAATCAATCCAAACGGCAAGTCTGTTAAGGGGAAACAGTATTCCTTCAACCAAAACAACGTTGGGTTAGTGCAATGGTGGACGTGTTTGAGATGCAATGTAGTGACGATGGCATGTTTCAGAGGGAATAGCTCACTCCATTCTCTCTATCATGGGGGTTTCCTCACCTCTAGCCTGGTTCTGTTGTAGCCTCTGATCGAGAGAGGATCACAGGAAAGAGGAACAGGCCATCAACCCCATCAAGCTTGCTGTGCTATTCAACACAATTATGGCTGACCTTCCTCAGCACCATTTTCTTGCAGTATCCCTTGATAGCATTAACATCTAGAAATCTATCAATCTCTATTTGGAACATGCTCAATGATGGAGCCTCCGCATCTGAAGTGGAGAATTCCTAAGATTTATCGCCTGAATGACGAGATTCCTACTCAGCTCAGTCATTTATTTAGAGGCTGGGTCCTCTGCTTCAAAACCCTCCCCCACCCCCTCCTCCCAGCTTGGGGAAACATCCTTCCTGCATCAATTGATCACTGCAATTGGTTTATTCTAACTCCTGTGATAATTGACTATCAGGGTGTTGAATGACCACACAGTCAATCTAGATCTTTGATACTGATCCCTGTGTTGCTAAGATGGAGCATTAGATCTATTGCAACAAATCAAGTGATCCAAACAGCAGATCACCTCATGACCCACTGGATTTAGGGGCAAGCCTCAAGCAGCTGAATTACCTCCTCCCGTTCCCAAAGAGATTGAAAGAGCAGGAAAGCTGGAGACAAAAAGACCCCAAACAAACAAAACACTTCTCATGTCGGTTGGGGCAAGACTTCAAGAAGAGGAAGAAACTGAACAGGATTTCGGGGTGGCCAGGGTCAGGGGTAAAGGGGCAGCAACAAAGGATCAAATTGGAGGAAATCAGGCCCAGGAGGTGGGACGGGGATGGAAACAGAAAAATAGTGCGTGTACATCAGAATCCAGAGGGAGCGCTGCCTCAACACTTTGTTCATCTCCATTGTCACAGACACAGTTCCTCATCACCGACCCCTCTTTTTATTTTTAAACAAAATCAATATTCACAGGACGTGGGTGTCACTGGCTGGCTAGCATTTATTGTCCATCTTTGTTGCCCTGGAGAAGGTGGTTCTCCGCTTCCTTCTTAAACAGCTGCAATCCGTGTAGTGTAGGGACACCCCATAGAATCACTATGGAGGGAGTTCCAGGATTTTGACCCGGCAACACTGAAGGATGTATATCCAAGTCAGGATGGCGAGGGCTCAGAGGAGAACTTGCAGAGTCTGGCGCTTCCATGTATCTGCTTGTCCCTGTCCTTCCACATGGTCGAGATGGCGGGTCTGAGGGATGCTATTGGCGTCTGTTACTGGCATCATTGCAGAGAAGAGATGGAGGTGACTGCCCGTCATCTAACGGTGATGCTGTCCCCCACTTCTTTGTACTTTACCACAAAGTAAGGAAAACATTGGTCATTGTCGAACAGGACAAAAATCTGGGGGTCATAAGTGCTGTCCACGCAGGAGTTGAAGAGGTCACTGCTGGGGTCATTGGGGATGACAGCTGGAGGCCTCCGCATAGCCGGCTTGCCAACAGTGTGCCTGCCGACCAGAACCTTGGATAGAAACATGTAATGGACTCCTTCCTCGGAACGCTGGGCGTATCTGTGGGAATAGCTGGACTTCCGGGCAAAGTAACTGCCCTGGCCATAGAGAGTGGCATGTCGCCCCGATACCCGTGGATCAAAGTTGTGCTTGCAGATGCCGTCGATAGAGAGTTGTGAGGTCCCGTGGAACAAATGCTTCTCGTTCAGCATCCTCTCCCGTTCCGACATCTTGCGAGCCATGTACTGCTTCTTCCTGTCGGGGGGCGGGGGTTGGGAAGAATGGAGATGGTCAAGAGAAAGGCAACGCCTCATTTCCCACAGCAACCTCACACCATTCCCCACTGATATGCTTTCACCCAGAGATTGGGGACAATGTGGGGTTCACTCTCACAGGGGAATAGTCCCATACATTAAGGGGGATAAATGCATGAGGCAGACAACAAAAGAAGGATAATGGTGAAGGTGGGGAGAAAGAGCGGTTTCTGGGGGTGGATTGTGCAGTCCAGAAACACCAGAATGGAGCAGATGGGCTAAGCGGACTGTTTCCATGCTGGAAATTCTTCTTTATTCAGTTTCTAATATCCAGCTTCCCTCTCTTTAACCATATCCTGTTAATACACTCAGCACCTTCCTTATCAAAGAAACATTGACAGTGCAGCAGATGGCCCTTCAGCCCATCATTGTTTGTGAATGCTAATCCCTTCCTAATATTAGACACCCCTTCAGTGCATGCCACTCTTGCGATAAGGTTAGGGTTAGGGTTAGGGCTAGAGCATGGGACATAGAACGCTACTGCACAGGAACAGGCCCCTCAGCCCACCATGTCTGTGCTGACCATGATGTCCTTCCAAACTAATCCCATCTGCCTGCACATGTTCTCTGCCTGTTCATGTATCTGTCTAAATGCCTCTTGAACATTGGTATTGTATCTGCTTCAATGCCTCCAGTGGCAGCAGGTCCCAAGTATTTCTTATGGATGAAAGTTCTGGCAAACCAGGCCATGTTAAAGAAATTGAAGGTTGCATTTTTATTTCTTCGTTTGTAGGATGTGGGTGTCATATTTCTTGCCCGACCCCTGTTGCCCTTGAGAAGGTGGTGGTGATCTGCCTTCTTGAACCGCTGCAGCCCTGACCCTATGATGGAGGGAAGGTGGCATAGGAGAGCGTTGTTGAAGATATTCAGTGAGTGTGAGGTAGCCCAGGTTTAGTCACAGGGTTTTGAGGCCATTCTTGCCACCCTGGGACAATTTCGTCCACTCCATTTCACCCATTTCTCTCGAGACTCTGCCACAGATACAGAAGAGACCAGGCCTAAGTGGGCCTTCACCAACCAAAGGCTTTCACAGTTAGATTCCAAGGCCGCACTTGACAGCAAAGTCACCGAGAAGGGTAGCTCTGGGTGCTCCTACTCCAACTAGGTCTCAGAGGGGGTCATATTCACTCTCCGTGACCGAGAGTCATGCAGTTCAAATCCTACACCACACTCTTGAGCATATAATTGAGGCCGACTCTTCCCAGCATCCACATTGAGGAAGTGCTACACTCTCTGGGTCACTGTCTTTTTGATGAGAGAGACTAAGGCCTTATCCAGCCTCATGTGGGGCCTGAATAATGAGCAGGGCAGAGGCTTAGTGATGTCAGCATTTATCCCTGGGCCAGTACCTGACCATAATCCAATTGTGGATTGATTGATAATTTTGTACACAAGAGGTTTCTACTTCACAACAAGATCATGCTCTAAAAACTATTAAGTTAGCTGTGAAGTGCTTTGGGAAGTCCCAAGAAAGTGAAGCAGTGAGTATCTATAAACAGCAATGTGAAAACAAACAGAGCAGCTGTTTCTGATGAGACTGCATCAGGAATGAATAATGGCCCAGGATAGTGGGGGGGGTCAGCTCCAAAAAAACACCACATCTCGAGGGAGAGATGGGGCCTTAATTTAACATCTCATCGACATTGCAGCACTCAATCAATACCCATCCTCTGACAGTACGGCGCTCCCTCAGCACTGACCCTCCAGACAGTGTGGCATTCCCTCAGCACTGACCCTCCGACAGTATGGCGCTCCCTCAGCACTGACCCTCCAACAGTGCGGCGCTCCCTCAGCACTGACCCTCCAACAGTGCCCACTCCCTCAGTACTGACCCTCCGACAGGAGGGCGCTCCCTCAGCACTGGCCCTCTGACAGTGCGGTGCTCCGTCAGCGCTGGTCCTCCAACAGTGTGGCGCTCCATCAGCACTGACCTTCTGACAGTGCGGCGCTCCCTCAGCGCCAACCCTCCGACAGTGCGGCACTCCCTCAGCGCTGACCCTCCGAAAGTGCGGCGCTCCCTTAGCGCTGGCCCTCCTTGAGCCCAGTATCTCAGGGAGGATGTGCTGGCATTGGAGGGACTGCAGTGGAGGTTTACAATAATAATCCCAGGGATGAAGGGCTTGTCATGTGTGGAGTGGTCGAGGACTCTGGGCCTGTAGCTGTTGGAGTTTGGAATGATGATGGAGGATCTGTTTGAAAGTTACGGAATACTGAGAGGACTGAATAGAATGGACGTGGAGAAGATGTTTCCACTAGTAGGACAGACTAGGACCTGAGGGTACAGCCTCAGAGTGAAGGGATGACCCTTTAGAACTGAGATGAGGAGGAATTTCTTCAGCCAGAGGGTGGCTAATATGTGGAACCCATTGCCACAGAAGGTTATGGAGGCCAAGTCATTGAGCCTATTTAAGAAAGAGACAGATAGGTTCTTGCTTAGTAAGGGGATCAAGGGTTATGGGGAGAAGGCAGGAGATTTGGGGTAAGAAACATATCAGCCATGATTCAGTGGCTGTGCAGACACAATAGGCCAAAGGGTCTAATTTCTGCTCCTATATCTTAGTGCAGACCCTCTGACAGTCCTCCTTCAGTACCGCACTGGGATTGTCAACCTGCATTTTGGGCTCAAGAGCTTTGAAGTGGGACATGAAAACACAACTGTGGAGCTGAGAGATCACTCCAATCAGAGAAAGCCCTTGTCTAGATCAGGTATGTAAAACAACGCTAACTCTGTCCTGCCTATTGTGTTTCAAACTTTCCATCAATACCTACCCAACAGCCTTCCTGTACATAATCGCTTTTCATACAGTTAAGCATCACAAGATGCTTCAGAGGAATGTTCTCAAGACAAAGTTCAACACAGAGCCACATAAGGAGATATCCAATAAGATAATTGCAAGTTGGTTTTAAGGAGCATCTTAAAGGATGAGAATGAGAAAGAGAGAGAGAGAGAGACAGTGAGGTCCAGGTAGGGAAATCCAGAGCTCGGGACCCAAGCAGGGGAATGCTCAAGAAGCCGGAATTGGAGGAGGAGAGAGATAGGGAGGTGTTTGGGGGATGGAGGTGGACTATAGAGTTAGGGAGAGATGTAGGGGCTGCAGCAGGTTACAGAGATAGAGAGTAATATAATGGCTGGAGAAGGTTACAGAGATAGGGAGGGGGTGTAGGGGCTGCAGCAGGTTACAGAGATAGAGAGTAATATAATGGCTGGAGGAGGTTACAGAGATAGGGAGGGTATGTAGGGGCTGGAGGAGGTTACAGAGATAGGGAGGGGGTGTAGGGGCTGGAG